CTATTTTTGGCAGAGGTTTTAGACCAATTCAAAAATGATGAACTTTTGTGAAGGGCATTTTGGGTTCACTGAAATGTTTTCCAGTTGAACCTGGTATTTTTCAGGGGGTGCTGGGGTTTGTTGATCCCCATTTCAAGTTTAAAGAGAATTTAAACATGATGACATGATGAGCAAGCAAAAAGTCAAACAAGGGCTGATCTAGGGCTGTGACATCCATGAAATTCTCAATCATCAAATTCTGATTAAACAACAAGCAGCGTATATAAGCACAGTACAATGCAGTGTGATCCATTACAACTACTTTATTTATCTATATCCAACACAAAAAATGATCTGACCAACCTTATTTGTTGGGGACAACAAATCATGATATGACGTGGAAGGAAAAATCACTTGTTCCACCAAATAATCCCTCAAAATATTCCAGTCATGCGCACACCATGGACAGTACAAATCACCAAATCTCAATTGATCGACTAAGTCTGAAGCCCTAACTAGAGTACGGTTCGAGCAAAGCGCTTGGATCTTCCGGATCGAAGAAAGCAAACGATAAATCCGGGCACTAGAGAACAAGAGGAGGGGGGAGGGAAGAAGGGAGGTGGCGCGCCATGGTTCTTCTTGAAGATGCCGATCCAGGGATGGCTCTGGTCAAGGAAATTAGGAAAGTAAGAGCAACTCTAGTAGACCCCACAAAACGCTCGGCCCACAAAAATTCCGGCGAGTATGCGGGCTCGGCCTAATTTTCCGCCCAGAACAGAGCCCACATACTTGCCCGGGCCACAAATTTTTTTGCTGCAACCCGCAAACCGCACGCTCCGAGCACTATAACTGTGATTCCGCGTCCATTTTGCGGGTCCAAACTCTATCCCCCGCCGCCGCGAGCCACCCGATTCCCCTTTTCCCTCTCCACATTTTTCGCCGCCGGCGACCACCAGCCTCGCCTCCAGCCGCCATGTTGGGCCGAATGTGGAGCTCCGGACGTGGCTCTGGCAGCAGATCCGGCCGTGAGAGGGACCCGGAGCGCGAGCGGCGCGTCCGGTCGGACGGCGCGAGGAAGCGCGGCGCTCGGAGGTGGACCAACCACGGGACGTCGCCGACGAGCCTCAACCGCCGCGAGAGGAGGAGTACGACCGCCGACGCGCGTCCTTCTCCTCCGCGACATCTTCCTACGCCGGATCCTCCTCGTCCTCCGGCGCGGGCTTTCTCCCCGTGAAGAGGGAGTGGTCGGAGGACGAGGGGGAGTCGGAGGAGCCGGGGCCGTTCACCTTCGTCCCGGTGAAGGAGGAGCCCGAGGAGCCCGCTCCGCTCGGCCGCCGCAGAGTCCTCGGGCCCGAGGAATACGCCGCGGACTTCGACGCCGTTGCTGCCGCCATCGCCGAGCGGAGCATGCGCGAGGAGGCGGAGCGCCGGCGCCACGCCGAGGAGCTCGAAGCCCTCAAGTGGCGGCAGGTGGTCGCCGCCAACATCGCTACCAACGAGAAGGTTGAGGAGTGGCGCCGCATCCGCGCGGAGCAGGCGGCGAAGTACATCGACCTGTGCAGCTCCGGCGAGGAGGATTGAGCGTCGCTCGACCTCCACGGCGTCGTCCATTTTGCCACGACCTCGTCGTCGTCAGATCCGACCCCCTCTACTACTAGTTAACGTAGCATGTAGTATGATCTATGCTTAATTTGTTGATCATGTAGTATGTATGAACTCTGTAGTATGTATGAACTTTGTAGTATGTGATGTGATGAACTATGTTTGTGCAATTTCTTCCGCGAAAGTGTTTTTCAAATTATGCAGGTTTAGATACGGTGTCTGATCGCCCGTGCATGTTTTCGACCCGCAAACTCGATCTTCGTGAAACAGCAAACGCGTTTTGCGGGTCGAATTTTTGCGGGGTCTGCTTCAAGATGGGAATGGGCCGACCTGGCCCTGGCCTTGGACCCGGCTCCATGGCCCCAAGGTCAGTATGCGAGGCCATGGGTCGGCCCATTTCATCTGGCCTCGTTGACCCGTTGGGTATATGAGGCTGACCCAAATCAAGATGAGAAAATCCATGAATTTAGTTTTTTTTTTGCGCGAAAACTTCCGATCTATTCATCAACTGTCAAGGTAGTACAAAAAACACTAGAAGTAAAAATTACATCCAGGTCTGTAGACCACCTAGCGACGACTACAATCTCTGGAGCGAGCCGAAGGCGCGCCGCCGTCATCGCCCCTCCCTCGTCGGAGCCGGGCAAACATTGTTGTAGTAGACAGTCGGGAAGTCGTCGTGCTAAGGCCCCATGAGACCAGCGCACCAGAACAGCAACCGCCGCCGATGAAGAGAAGCATAGACCGGAAGGATCCAACCTGCAGACACACAGACGTAGACGAGCGAAGACCAGATCCAGTCGGATCCACCGAAGACAAACGCCGACCGGATCCCATGAGATCCGCCGGAGACAAACCTCCACACGCCTTCCGACGATGCTTGAAACATCACCGGGACGGGGGCTAGGCGGGGAGGACCTTATTCCATCTTCAAGAAGCCGACACCACCTCATCTTCTTGAGCATGGCACAAACCCTAACAAAACTCAGAAAAGCATCTAAAAACGGAGCCCTCCCGCCGGCAAGGGCCGGGATCCACCGTGCCTCCATGATCCGAGGACCATAGAAGATAAGGCGGACCGGCGGCGCCGGCGAGAGGCAAGGAAACCCTAGATGGGAGTTGGGCGTGGGCAGGAGGAGCGAAGGGCGTGGGCAGATGAATTTAGTTAGCACAATCTGAAGACCGGGAAGGCCATCGGGAGGCGAGCTGGACAAGTTGAAAAGGAAGAGGAAAGCGACCAGGATGACGAGCTCGACGGCGACCGAGACGACGAACGAGAGGCACGAGGGGGACGAACGCCGGCGGCAGCAGAGATGCTCGGAGGTGCCGTTCGAACAAGCCGCTGGTTGTTTCTACGTGCATGTACTAGTTCACGTAAAAATCAATGCACCTGCCTGCTTGTGTACAGGGGCGTTTCCAACAATCGATCCAGTTTGCTCAGCTTCTTACGTAGGAGTACGTGTCTTCCGGTCAAATAATCCATCTGCGCGTGAGCACATCATCAATTTCTTCAGAAAGTACACGACGAGTCGAGGGGGCGGCCAGCGGCAGCAGAGATGGTCGGGGGACTGGGTCGACCCATCTGACCCATCGGGTCGCACAGGTCCGACTCCACTGACCCATATATCAATTAAGGCCAACCCACTTGGCCCATTGGCCTTGAATTTTTGGGCCGGGTCAGTGACCCAGCGGGTCGACCCGGCCCATTCCCATCTTGAGGTCTGCTAGAGTTGCTCTAAGGGGACCAGCTATTTGGGGCGGAGCTTGGAGAGGTCCGAAGTTGAATCTTGCAGCGGAGGAGGGAGAGGCGTGGCGACGACAAGTACTCAAGGTCGGGACGAGCAGAGTAAGGGAAAGTGGATCGGAAGCGATGTAATCAGGAGACGGTGCAAAACTGGTGAACCAGACAGGTCATCAGTGTTTGCTAACACTAATATAGTATTCAAGCTAGGATGACGAGTAGTTCTCCCTGTAGGGAACGACAACACAGATAACACATATAATGATACGCACGGGCAAATGCTAAGTCTCATTCAACATACAAACCAAAATAAACCAAAGTTATGTTAAACAACCATCTGCGTCAGATGCCCTGATGGCAACTTCATACTCCCTCCGTCCGCCAAAGAGTGTGCGTTTGGCTATTCTAA